AGGTATATCCTCACTTTCAATTTCCTCTAGAATAGTACTCAGACAACAAACTACTGAAAATGGATATTAAACTATGTTTACCATTATATATGACTTGTATTAAATAATTGTTTGAATAAAGAGTAAATACATCTACTGAGATAGAAACAATTCTACCATAAAATGATTCGAATGAATTTCGTCAATCAATTTTCTTCTCAATACATTTAAACACTTTAAAGTTATGAAATTTACATTGAATATTTAATGAACCACTTAATAGTTGTAACTATCTTTTATTGTATAAAGCAATTTGGCAAATCTTTGCATATTTGAAAGATTTTTATGAACTTAAAAGTTGGAAATGTTTAATGAAGTACTGTTGTTAAGATAATTTTGAGTTTTGAATTTAGATACCACACATTTTGTTTTGTAACAATTGAATATTGAGGCAATATTTATTTCAAACTCTAGATGTACACTATTAAATTGTCTCAGTTTAAGTAATAAAAAGCGTTATATCCCGATGAGAATTATGAATGGAAACTCTTGAGAACTATTTATAGATCAATACGATACAAATATTTTTATTACATAATTCTTAAGTGGTTAAACTATCCATATTCATGTTTCTTTTATTATAAGCTTTATTTTAACACATAGACTATTTTTATACGATTTACCGTTCTTGAGTTCTGCCCAGTCTATTAATTACAGTTTCCCACATTCACAGTCACTTTTGGCTAGACCTTGTACGAAAGTTAATTTCTATTTTGTGGTAAGATGTGGTCTGTTTGGTTTATATATAAACACAGTGTGTTTGGAATACATGATTCGTATTGCAGAGGCTGAGATTGGTGCTCTGGACTCAACAGTCAGGGCTAAGAAGGAAGAAGGACCGATGAGAACTGCAGAATGCTCGTACAGGTTTACGCGTTATTGGTCCGATCGATCAATCACTGTTCTCTAATTGGCGTTATATATTAATAGGTCACAAGGCTACAATTTATAAAAAAACTACACTTGTATTACTGAATACAACTAGTTAACTCAGACATATAATTATCGAAACAACAGATTACTGTTGAAATTTTGATTTATTCTGACAGATAATTTGAAATATCTGTTAGAATGTAGTAGAACATGATCTTAAATGAAAGAAAACTACTAAATTCAAAGGATACAATTTCCTATCTTATAATCCAAATTAATAAAAAAAACATTCAGAAAATAATTTTGTCTATAAAAGAATAAAACAAAGGTATATGTTCACTTGATGTTGTTTTACTTGTATGTTCTCATTGTTACTTAGGACTGCAATTGATCAGTCTCATGTTGGCATATGTGCATCCTGTGAGGATTGCCTCGATAAAGCCCTAAGTAAAACAACATCAAGTGAATTTAAACTTCACCCTATTACACAAGTAGGTGGCTATCAGGACTCAATAGCTAAGTGGATATCGCGATGGTATTTGAAATGAGTCCTGGAGTGAACACGAACTTTGGGATGCAGGTACATCGAGCTGACGAGTCCCACATAGAACGAAACGCACGTCCTGGATTCCACTGCTAGCCACTATCCATCTTTGCTTAAAAAGGTTTATATTATGACATTGAAAAGCATAATCATAATGTATGTAGATTGGAGAAGGGAATTTTAACTAATTAAAAAAATTGAAAAATATCTAAAAAGTTGAGTAAAATTTAAATTATAGTCATATATTATAAAATAATGTCAGAGAATATAAAGGATGGCAAACAATTCTTACATAGTGAGTGATTAATTCCTAGAGTCCAACATTATTTCATCTAGCCTTTAATGTTGATCAATTTATACCAAATAGATTACAAATGAAATTACTAGTGTAAAATCTAGGTGTATGTTTTCTTTTCTATTCTCATGTCGAATAATTGGAAACAGTCGTCAGGAGACTCTTTATCTACGTTTCATATTAATCGACAATGATCAATAAAATATATCTGTCGTTTTAAATTGACTATCACTAATCATAATATTTGGACACGTCTCACTTAGTATTCAAGTTGAATTAGGTTTATACAAAATAGTATGAAAATCACAAGATATAATTTAATACAATTTTTAAAATGATCTCTTTTTATAGACTGATGGAATAAGCACATACGAAATGAGAATTATATCTATACAAGTAAATGTGTATAACTAAACATTCTCAGGAATTTACTTAGTCTCTCTCTCTCCCTATATATATATATATATATATATATATATATATATATATATATATAATGGTATTTCCAATTTCCGGTTGACTATTATTCATTTATTTACACAGACTATAACCATTGACTAACTGACGAAATTATCTGTTCAAATCAATCTATTTTCATTTATCATTATCCATAGAGTATCAAAAAAAAACAAAACAAATAACAGTCAACATACAAATGAATATAATAGTAGTGTATTGATATTATGGTTATATAAAATAATTAATCAACTATTTTCATTCATTCAGTCATAGTTACTTCCTATTTCTTTCATTTCATTCTTTATTGTATGACTAAAAAAATTATTTATTATTCATTCATAATTTAGATTTACTCAATTCTCATACGTTTACAATAGGCATTCATATTGTTGGTTACTTTTTCTTAATATCTGTTATGAAATCTGAAAACAAACAAACAAGCAAACAATCTGAACATTTTATCAAAAATAAATAATTTCCTGAACCCCATGAAGATTTTATTAAGCCAAACGAAAAAAAAAACAAAAAAAAGAGAAAACGGATCATAAATAATGATCAACATAATAATACGCAATAAATAAATAAACAATTTCCTGAAAAGAAAAATAATCATGTTTTTTGGTGGAGATTTGTTCTCTGAGCTGGATGGTTTGGTCAGAGAACAAAAAACTCCACCAAAATCATCCACCTGAGCTACAAATCTTCTCTACCATCTCAAAATCATGTTTTTTCCTTAATAAAAAAATGTACTGTGAAATGCAAATTAATATATAATTATATTAGTCTTTTTCAGTCCTCTATTATGGTTAGACCTATACCTTCATCATTATTGACTGATTTTTTTAAAAATATTTCTGAAATGATGTAAGATGTAAAATACTTTTAATGTTATTATTAGTTTATAAGGTTATTGTCCGATAGAACTTCATTGATAAAGGTTTAATTTGTTAAAGAGAACATGAATGAAGATTGATGCAGAATAATATAAATTCTATTCTGTTTCATTAGGTTCTCATCAATGGCTTATAATATTGTGAAATCAACGTTCTTACAGATATTGATATACTTATATATACAAAGGTAATTAAAGATGAATATGTGTATTATAATGAGGTGAAGATTTCAATATAGTTAATAAGATCATAAAAGTTTTGTTTTGGATAAATAAAGTTTGAGAGGGAAAGTTCCAGAACATTCAGATAGTGATTAGTAATAGAAGCGGTAGTTCTTAGATAGTTTCAAGCTATGTGTATACACCTTTTCAATGCTATTGTTCTTATTTCAAGCATTTTACACAATTGAAATGATTTAGTTTGGCTTACCATTCATAGGTTTTTTTCCTAGAGTGTACACAACTTCGTGTTGGCTTTTATATAAATTGATTTAACGGGTGATACCTTAACTTACAGTATTAATCATTCGAGAAACCGATTTATGGGACTACTAACGTAAAATTATATCATTGTTATATTACACTATCCGACATTATTTGACATTTACTCAAATAGAACATTATCTCACATTCAAATAATATACTAGTTCTTAAACCTCTGTGACAACATTATATATTATGCATACTATAATAATTCTTATCCAAAAATCTAGTTTTCATGGTGGAAAATTGAAAGGATGCATTTTTTTAGATCTATGCAAATTACACAATACTTTCACACGAAAATATTTGAACTTATTGTCTATTTTTGTCAGTTTCCAAGTAGTCTAGTTAACAAATTCGATTTAATAATTCAATATACATCAGATTTTATGTTACCACTTAGCTTGTAATATTTGACGATCTTTTAATGAATGATAAACAAATTAAATCTATCGTGACCTAACAGTTTAGTGCATAACAATATGACTTTTAACATGTAAGAATCACGTTGAAATTTTGATGAGAACACCTACAGTACTGGAATGTAAGTGGACCCAGCTGAATAACAAAATGATAAGTATTCTATATTTTAATATTAGCAACTAATGTGAACAATAATAATATGCTACTTAGTCACTTACGCTTGTTAACCCTCATGGAGGAGCATGAGCCGTTCATCATCATTCTCCATTCATCTCTGTCCTGGACGATCCTTTCGACTTGTTCCCGGTTACTACTTCTCTCGATGTCTGTTTCCAGTTCTCAGAGTAGTGTGTTCTTTGGCCTCCCCTTTTTCCGCCTCCCTTCACGATTCCAAGATAGAACTTGCCTCATGATGCAGTTGGATGATTTACTCAATGTATGTCCTATCCACTTCCAACGTCTTTCTCTAGTTTCCTCTTCAGATGGAAGCTGGTTTGTTTCCTCCATGGTATTCGGTCAACGGATATTGAGTATCTTGCAAAGACAGTTATTTACAAATGCTTGTACACTTCCGATTATGAATGTATTAGTTCTCAAAGTTTCCACTCCATACAACAGAACTAACTTGATGTTCATATTGGAGATTCTGACTGATGTTGAATGACAGTTATTTTGAGTTGCATATGTTCTTCAACTGTCCCGGACTGAACACTGTCTCTGTGGTTCAGATACGTCCAGTGCATACAGGGTTCCACCGTTAGCCACCATCCAGCTCTAGTCAAAATATGTTATATTTTATACGCCTCAGATTTGAATATATTAGCGAACTGCTTCGGTAAGTTATTTGTGTTCTTATGTATTATTAGTTAGTCAAAGAATAACTTTCACTAGCATACATATATTTTTCATATGAACGAGTCCCGATAGTAAACGTTAAGTTTCACTTTTAGTATAAAATAAACCGTATTTTCTATTTTATTTTCTCCCAACAGGTGATCATCGTAGATCCGGAGGGCACGATTATCGTCGTCACACATCTGGACATATACACTCATCTGATTCACATCCACGTACATTTAGCGGAGGTGCAACACATAGTGAAGTTGGTGAAGGCGGTGTAGGCGGTCTTGTTGGTGATAGTCACGGTGGTCATTCATTCGGTGGTCACGAACAAGGCGGAGTAATGGATGCTACATTCATATGGAAATTAACTAAGCTTGGAAGAATTGGATCATCACGGCTACGATTTGATGATGATTTTGCTGATAGACTTAACTATCAGTATACTGGGTATTGATGTTTCTTTTCATTGGTCTTATTGGAATTCGACAATATGTTGGTAAGTAGATCTATTTTATATGACTGAGTTTATGGGTCATTTTTAAGCCCTCTTTTTTTACTTACAATGAAATCTGTAACTAAAAGTCGATACCAGTTGTGATAATGAGTAAAAATAAAATTATTGCTAATTCAAAGTATTTATGAAAATTATGGTTAATGGTTAAGGTACTATTAGTACGGGGTTGAGGAGATTATTAAGTTCTTGATTGAGATCATGAGCCAATTGATTTTGGGCTACCATTAAAAACCTGGAAGCACTGGACAGCCGTGTCGCCGTATTGTGGGACTCCTCAGCAGTGCGCGTCCACGATTAATTAAATTATTGAGAATTAGGTAGTTATAATATTCAAGAATGTTAACCAACAAGTGAATGAGTTAAAATACATTATTACATAATATCCGGTTGTGTAACAAGAGAGAGAGCGATGTTTTAGTTAACTAAGAAGGGGGGTTTGTTTTATCGATTCATCATTGTGACATAGATAAAGTTTGTTACGATAAATGCAGTCCATTTCAGCTGTATAGAAAATGAATGTACATAAACCGTGGATTGATTCTAATGGAATACCATGGATAACTTGAAAAATCTCAATCACATTCATTTGATGGTTTCTGTAAATCCACTGAGCTGGTATAGACCTCTTTATTATTATTAATTGTCCTTCACTGATGTAAGTAGGATGGTATTCAATAATTCCCTAATAGCTTTATCTAATTAATTATTCAATATAACTAGACTTTATAGGAGCGAATGACTCGTGAAATAGACAAACTTCATCTTCAGCTTTATTTAAATTATCTTAATATAAATATTTCAAATTCATAATTATCTATATGATTAGTAACGAATAATTACAGGAGTCATTCAAAGATTAAAGACAGTACGCCAGTTTTAATGTACTAAAGATAATTCCACTAATTAAAGCTCTCATTCCCAAAGAAAAAAACATTATTTATATCTAATGCTAAGCCTTGTATACACTATTATCTGCCTTTGTTATTAACAAAATATATGATATTTTGGACAGTTTAATATAATTTACATTCCACAGGTTGAAATCATGAGTCAATTGAAGCTAGACCAACACGGAAAACCTGGAAGTACTGGACGGCCGTTTTCGTCCTAGTATGCGACTCCTCAGCAGTGCGCATCCACGATCCGCGCGAAACCAGTAGGTCCTGGGTTCGAATCCCGCGGGATGCGGGATCGTGGATGCACACTGCTGAGGAGTCGCATACTAGGACGAAACGGCCGTCCAGTACTCCAAGGTTTTCCATGGTGGTCTAGCTTCAACTGACTCATGATTTCAACCTGTGAAATTTCTAAAAAATCTCCATAAACCCATTCTGATAATAATTTGCATTCATGAATTTAAACTTTCATAATCAAATTAGAGCATCATGAAATGAAGTGAAATCATTTCTTTTTGTATGTTCGTACTTAATAAGACAATTGATGGATAAAATGTTTTAAAAATGTCATTTTAGTGTGTAACATGTATAAATTCATTTAGTTTCATAGTGAAAAATATAGATGAACGAATTGAGCACGAGAGAGCGAGAGAGGGGGAGACCATCACGTAATCGTGAACAAGAAACGGGTAGAATTTGTAATGACTGAATCTCTATATTCCAAGTTATAATCATATTTCAATGAATTCACCTAGTTCAAAATAAATTCTTAGTATGTATCCGTTTACTGAGTCATTTCAGAATGCATTAAAAGTATTTACTTAATGTCTTTTTAAAATCATTTACATTGCTTATCACTTGTATTAACAGATCCGTTATTGTTATTGTATACTAAAGAATTGTAAATTTAACAAACGAATTTTATTTTGTTTTCACAACATTCAGAGTATTTTGTAAAAACGACTAACTGTTTATTTGCTGGTAGTATAACCACACTTATTATAAAGTGTTTAAGTCCTTTTGTCCGTTAAGCCTAACATATTCATACACAAATAGATAACTTTCTCATCATAAATGTGACACTTGGTGTTACTTTGTAAATGTTTTAATATACTCATTTACAATTATTCACTACGTTTTCGGTGTTTACTAAGTGTGACATATACATCATTTTGTGTAATTTCTCAGTTTGTTTATTGGATAGTTGCTAAATAATATAAAAAATTGTATTGTATATTTTATTTTAAGCTCTGAAGTTTATTATATTACAGTTTTCATCCACCTTATCAGTATGCATTACATCGAACATGTTCACAAGCGATATATGAGGGTCCCACTAAATTTTTGAAATGAAAACTTTAGTGGAAATTACACTCTAATATGCACGGACCAAAAGTGTCAAGTTCGATATCATTCGTGAACATTACAAAACGTTTTACATAATTACAGGTTTACTGAACATTAGTTTATATATTTAAATTCATCGCCAATTAGTTGTCAATCAATCAGATTACAGCAAAGATAAATGCATAAAAGGAAACAGAATAATATATTATTCTAAGACAAAAGGCAACAAGTCAATTACAAAATTCCATAAAAGCAAAAAAACAAGTTCCATTTTTTCAAAATAGAAAATGATAGACAAACAATGTTTAAAATGAAATCTAGTTGATCTCCAAAAACATAATAACTATATATGTATTGCCGGTTACTTGACATCATTAACAAGTGAGAGAGAGAAAGAGGAAACTAACAATCAGTCGGATTCCTGTTTTGTAAAGAAATAACAAATAACTGAAGAAAATTAAAAAAAGACAGTCGAATAAAGTACCGTTTTACTATTAATTTTAAATGAGAAGTAATACTCTAACATTAATTTTAACTTTTTCTTTTTTAAAAAATGACCTGATATTTTTCACTCCGTGATCTCACTGACTAAATTTTACCATAGTAAAACTAACAATAACGGTGTTGGTTGTTAAGTGATATAAAAAGGATAAATCATTAATAATCATGTCGGTGTACTGAAATATTTGATAGAAAGAAATGAAAAGAACGAGAGAGAGAGAGAGGGAGGGAGATAAAGAGAGAGAAAGAGGTAAAGTGAGTGAATAATTTGATATGAAATTGTAAATTAACTCTTTTTTTCTTTATCTAACATATTTGTTACATTCAAAAGGAATGTATGTTAGTATTTTATAAAGAGAGAATAATTAGTCGTTACCATCCTTATTATTACTATTACTATTAATATGAGTATTATTATTTTCTTAATATGAAAAGTCAAGCGTGAAAAATTATTTGATTTAAAAAGAATAAATCTTATTCATTTCAATTTATTGAGAATATAAATCGTCGGTTGTATAGACAGATAGATAGATAGATAGATAGATAGATAGGTAGATAGTGTTTTCTATTTAGTACATTCCATTCATTTGTCATTAATTTGAAATGATTTAGATACATATATATGTGTATATATAGTTATGAAAACGTTGAGTAACAAAAGAAAAGAATGACAGAGACAGTACTAAGCTATACAGTATTGATATAAATAGTTTGAAATTTATTTTATGCATGCATAATTTTAATACATTTGAAAATAAAGAGACGTTGAAAAAAAAATGTTGAAGCTTAGCCTTAGAATCGTCAACAAGGTCTATCTAGACGTAAAATGTATTGAGGTTAAATGGATGAAGACAATTGACATAAAAGTCTAAAGATTAGTTAGTACAGTGTGTCTATAGAAATGAAAGGATATGTACTCTTTTCAGTGAGTTCAATTAATTGCATTGGTTCAGAGACATTACATTTCACATTGTTAACTGAAATCTGTATCAGTGTTAGTATGTCACTTATTAGTAGAGCATATTCACGTCCTCATCTCAGGTTTCGTCATGATTCATGGGCATTTAAACGACTTACTTGGAATTCAAAAGTTTACATGTCGAAATTCAATCATTTTGTAATACTGAGTGACTGTCTTCCATTGCTTAAGGTGGACGCAATTCCAGAAGTTCTAGTGAGAGGCTGTGACTAGTAAAGCTTAACCATGTGAGTTATTCACTTCAAGTATAGAGGTTAAGATCTAAACGTCCTGAGTTTGATCCACTATGTTGGAGTCATGGATGTGCTCCACTAAACTGTCCCACACTTGAATAAAATAGCAGTTCCATACTTCCTGGTTTTAAATAGTTGTCTAACTAGGATCATGCTGTGCTGTAAATTAAAAAAAATTTGAGAGATCTATTCTGAAATGCATGTACATAAGAAAACATTATGGAAACTTCTACGACACTGGAGTTCCTGAGAAGATTGTCAACACCATCTAGAACTCACACGACTGACTACAGTGCAAAGTGGTGCATGGAGGAGGGCCGACTGACGCATTCCAAGTAAGGCTCTGAGTCAGAAAACGCCGTCTACTCTCGCTCTTCCTCTTTCTTCTGGTGGTCGACTGGATTATGGAAACCTCAACATCTGAAGGGGAAACACGGAATGCAATGGACAGCTCAGAACCAATTAGACGATTTAGACATCACAGATGACCTAGCCCTCTTATCCCATACACACAAAGAAATGTAGATGAAGACAAGTAGTGCAGCAGCAGCCTCTGCATCTGTAGGCTCCAACATACACAAAGGAAGAACCGAAATCCCCAAATGCAACACAGAGAACACTAACCCAATCACACTTAATGACGAAACTCTGTAAGATGTAAAATCCTTCACATACCTGGGAAGCATTATTGATGAACAAGGAGGATCAGATGCAGACGTAAAGTCAAGGATTGGCAAAGTAAGGGCCGCATTCCTTCAACTGAAGAACATTTGCAACTCAAAACAACTGTCTGTCAAACAATATCAAAGTCGCAATCTTCAATACGAACGTCAACACAGTCAGTTCTACTGTACGGAGCTCAAACTTGCAAAGCCAATACAACCATCATCAAGAAAGTGCAAGTATTTATCAACAATTGTCTACCCAAGATACTCAACTAACATTGGCCGGATACCATCAGTAACAGCCTACTGTGGGAGAGAAAAACCAGCTTCCAGCTGAAGAGGAAATTAGGAAAAAACGATGTAAATGGATAGGACATACATTACGGGAATCACTAAACTGCATCACGAGACAAGTACTAACTTAGAATCCCGAATGCAAGCGGAAACAGGAAGGCCAAATAACACATTACGTTGGAAAGTAGGAGCAGGTATGGAAAGAATGAATAACAACTGGAAAGAGCTGGAAAGGATTCCCCAGGAAAGGGTTGGATGGAGAGTGCTAGTGTTCGGCCTATGCTCCTCCATGAGGAGTAATAGGCGTAAATAAGTAATACTGAAATAATAACTTAAAAACCTAAATTTCGTTGAAAACCGATATTAATTAAGAAATCATTTTAGAAATTAAAAAGTCGACATGGAGATGACATATATACATTTTATACAAGTTTTAAAACATATTAGTTTTTTTAAGAAAAATGATTAAAATTTTATAAGCTACGTACTGTTGTTTAGCAAATGTATCTTTTAAGATGGATAGTTTCACTATAACTTTTTCCACTGTCTTTATTTTTCTCCACAACATGTTTGTGCCATATTCTATTGATATAAAATAGAACTGATTATTTTTATGTACAGAAAATTAAAATTTTTCATGTATTATAGAAATAATGAATTGCGGTTAGCGGTGGAATTCAGTAGGTACATTTGCCTTTATCTAGTACTTGTCAGCTGAATATACCTGGATCTAAGTGTTAATGTTTACTTTGAGACTTCGACTCAGTACACAAATATCAACCCTTTCTTCACTAAACTATTGAGTTTAAATTATCATTAACAACGAGATAATTCATGTGTCATTCGAATTCATTGATAAAATTCACTTAGGTACTAAATGAAACACAATGTAGTTTAAGATAATTTATTTAATTTGAGAATTATTTACTCGTGTTGAAAGGTTTTATAAATCACTCGAACAGATTAAATGTTTCATGCACATGAAACAACTGTATATCAGAATGTTATGTACACTACTGAGGTTGACAGATATAAGTGGTATGAAACTACAGTCAGGAATGAAATGCTTGTCAAAAGGCGATTGGGAAGATTGAAAAGGACCAAAAGCGGGACAGAAAAGAATTGGAATAAAAAGAGAATTAGAAGAATCATTAAGAATGTAAATGACAAGTGATGAAAGATGCACAAATGAAGTGATTAATGTATAGCTTACATAATTTACAAAAAACATTCTGTAGTTTTGAACTAAATAATAAATTGGCTATCCCAACAGTCTTCGTTCACTTCAAGATAACTTCAAACATGATTCAAAGAAATAATTCATTTATAAACTTCAAAGAAGTGAAGTACTATGAGGAGTAAAAAGCAGTCTAAATCTTCTAAAAAATCACTTGGTCTCTAGTTTTTTTTATATATGTGTATAAGATAAACCATAACATCACGAAGATTACTAATTTCAAGTTTGATTTGTTTCAATTCCACAAGAATATGTAAATTATATTAAATTCACTTTGTATTGTTTATTTGAATCTTTCCATCGATGTTGAGGACTGCAATTAATCAATCACTTACTGGTATATGTACGTCCTGTGTGGATTGCCTCAACATTGCTTTAAGTCACAAGCAATATATACAAAGATGGATAGTGGCTAGCAGTGGAATCTAGGATGCCCGTTTCGCTCCATTTAGGACTCGTCAGCTGGATGTATCTACATCCCACAGTTGATGTTCACATCAATCGGAAGATTTAAAGAAACAATACAAAATGAATATAAACTTCACCCCATCGCAAATACTGTTGGCTATCAGGATCCATTAGTTAAGTGGATAACGTGATAGAGTTTGAAGTAAACAGTACTGGGTTCGAGTTTCAGAGTAAACATCAACTATGGGATACAGGTATAATATCTAGTCGATGTGTCTCAAATAGAACGGAACGCGCATCTTAGATTCGACTGCTAGTCATCATCCATCTTTGCATGTAAATCATAATATTTTTCTATTTATGAAAATAGCCAATTATGCTTCTTTGGTATTATTTTATTTTACTAAAGAAGCCATAGTTATTGATTGGAATTGCAAAAAAAACTATTTAACCATGATTTTAAGAATCCAGTTGTTTGTAATTGAATTTAGGTTAGATTGATCAAGTTTCTCATTATGAGATAAAGTGAAATTTCTATTTTAATATTAATTTTATTTTACCTTTTTTTTAAAAAAAAATGGTTGAATAAAAGTTAGCGTGTTGTTAACCTTAAATGAAATTGGTTTTTTTTTTGAAGTTAATTAATGTAGGAGAGGACTTTAATCATACATTTTCTTTCGCCTTTTTTTATTGTAAAGAAATGTACTTTTTCATGGATAAGACACGCATCTACTTAAATTTATATCAGTATTTGTATATTGATGCTTGAAACTGAATTCATCTGATAGTTAATTGGATATTCAGTAACATTGATTAAGTGTACTGTTCTAATTTGAGACACTTTACGAGTACACATTCATACATCTACTCATTTATTGAACGAAAATGTATATTTTTGCGTTTTGTTCTAATTGATGTAACATTATGAGACATATTTATAATTATCAAAAGGAGTTTTGTGGAGATTTTAGTAATTTCAATAGTTGAAATCATGGGTCAATTGAAGCTAGACTACCATAGAAAACCTGGAAGCACTGGACGGCCGTTTCGTCCTAGTATGGAACTCCTCAGCAGTACGCATCACTGATCCCGCCTACCACGAGATTCGAACTCAGGATATATCAGTCTCGCACACGAGCGTTTAACCATTAGACCACTGAGCCGGCATCCAACGGTGTTAATGTCTAACTTCAACCAACCCACGGAATTGCGCCACTGTACACCATTGTCTTCAGTGAGCTGATATCTCACAACAGACCTGGTTGAACTCCACTGGTCACGGCTTCTCACTAGAACTCCAGGAAATGTCTCTTGAAGTCAGTCACTAGTGAGCAGATGATTATTATCAGAAGGGGTTTGAAGTTCGCGGGGGGGGGGTAGGATCGCGGATGCGCACTGCTGAGGAGTCCCACAATAGAACGAAACGGCTGTCTAGTACTTCCAGGTTTTCCATGGTGGTCTAGCTTCGATTAATTCGTGATTTCAACTATTGATGTTTGCAACTGACTAATTCAGATTTATAGTCTCGATTAGATTTTTGGTATATGTTGATTATCACCCGGATAAATTCTTTCTTGTTTAACAACTTTTGATCAGTGTAGTTGAATCGATTTGAAATAAATCGGAATGATAATAGTTTAGAAACTGAATGTAATGGAAACACCCGGAACGATAATGTACTCTAACTAAAGCATAAACATAACTTCTAGTTTCTTCTTGATTCATTGTCAAAACCTGATTGGTTAACAATGGATTAATCGATGTATTTGTATTTAATCGGACATTAACTTTGTTATCGTTAGAACTTTAATCCTCCTAAAATAACTTCACATTACTGGCTAATGACTAATTCTACGGTACTTACTTTTTCAATAGAACTGATGAGATATAGCGAACTAAGAAGACATAGTGATATGACAATCTTTGGTTTATCATTGATTTTCTACCTGATATTATTTTATAGCAATAAAAATTACTTTAAAAACATACATATTTTTACATAAATTAATAGGAAATAATTTTATGAGATTTCAAAGTAAAGTAAATTGTTGCAATAAAATCTATTTATAGTTAATAACAATTTAACTTTAATACCCATTCCATGAAGTTATTGACTTTTGAAATAAGCCATATTGGTAGATATAGACTAACTTGTTAGGGTTAGCATGATTATCGTAAGTAATGGTTGAAAACGTTGGATAACATGTCCAAATATATTCACTCTTTGTTTTACCTTGAAGTTCGAGTTTAAAAATCGTCTTAGAATCCTCGATTAATGTGACTTTATTAATCAAAATATTCTGATGAGTGCTATAAATTTCTTTTTGGTATTAATAACGGTGAGATAGTAACTCATTGAAGACAGTAGGGGATGTGTCACTCAATTTCGCGGATTAGTTGAAGTTAGACATTAATACCGTTGGATACCGGCTCGGTGGTCTATTTGGTTAAGCACTTGGCACGAGATTGACAGGTCCTGGGTTCGAATCTCGTGATGGGCGGGATCGTGGATGCGTACTGCTGAGAAATTTCATACTAGGACGAAACGGCCGTCCAGTACTTCCAGGTTTTCCATGTTGGTCTAGCTTCAATTGACTCATGATCTCAATCAATGAAAAATTTGTTAATGCAAAACATGAATAGTTTGGGATGAGAGAGAACTCAACTGAAGAGTTGTACATGGAAAAAATTATCTTTCTGAATTCCACTTAGTCACAATCAATTTATTTTTTCAAAAATTAACTTGAGGTTTCATTCCATTTCTTATCATTGATTGCCCGTGTATTTAAGAGACCATGGAAAAATTCATAGGAGTTAAGAAAACGAGAGTATAAAAAATGTAAACTTTATTATTGTATAAACTAGTTATCCATTATTGATTAGTCAGTGAAATAACCGATGTCATAGTTGTCTAGTTCTTTATGTTACTGATTGTCTCTATTGGTGAAATTGAAATATAGTCATTACTCTAACCGAACAACCTCGGCCGCATTATGTTATAAGTTGATGTTTGTAGGTAGTCAATGGGTAACCTTGAACTAATGCTTCCTGCAAATTAGAGATCAGCAAGATGAAGCTGTAAACGTGACATAGAGCTCCTTTAAATCATTACTGTTGATGTCATCTGACGAAAATATTAACTGCAATGATACTAAATTTGAAAAACACATCTCACCATCCACAAGCAACCCAAAACGATGCTTAACTTTATACAAAAAATTAAGAACATGATTTGAAATATACTATACTAATGAAGCAAACCAAAACGTTTATAAGAAGCACAAGACCAAAATTCATTACCTCAAACAAAAGTACATTGCATTATAACATATATATGAGGGTATATCATTTCGCCAATACCATCATCATCATCATCATCATCATCATCATCATCATCATCATCATCATCATCATCATCATCATCATCATCATCATCATCATCATCATCATCATCATCATCATCATCATCATCATCATCATCATCATCATCATCATCATCATCATCATCATCATCATCATCATCATCATCATCATCATCATCATCATCATCATCATCATCATCATCATCATCATCATCATCATCATCATCATCATCATCATCATCATCATCATCATCATCATCATCATCATCATCATCATCATCATCATCATCATCATCATCATCATCATCATCATCATCATCATCGTTATCTAATATTAAATCACACTCTATTATCAACTATCAATTCATTACTCCATGTCAATTATACACGCACAGTAAACAATACATATAACAATAATAATAACAACATTATCATTATTATTATTATTATTATTATTAATTTACAGAAAGCAGAAAACGCCACTCCGTCGATCACATTCCTCAAGAGAATTTATCATGATTATCATCTCTGAATAAATCATTTTCACTCCATCTAACACATCTCAATTATACAATGTAAACTGGTTGGTTGGTTGGTTGATAAACAGTAATTAATTGAAGCTTCTCAATTTCACAACAATTGATTGACTGATCACTTGTAACCAAGCAACCAACTTGTAAGCAACATCTGAAACACCAACAACGGCAATAACAATAACAATAATGATAACAACGACAGCAAAACAACGAGAAGAATAAGAGAAATTTTCAAATACAAGGTGGAATTATGTGTGTGTATGTGTGTGGAAAGTTTGGTGTGTGTATTTGTAGATGTGAGCTGGATTGGAGCATAACTGGGGCATTGAGGAGAGTGAGGAGTGGTAAACTGATTGAATGTCATTCTTTCTTCTATCCCTCCTTCTCTTCATCTCCCACCTATTCACTCTTTCAATTGGAATTCATTTGCATTTTTTTATTGAATGAATTGGGAGGTGTTTGTTTTTCTGTTTATTTTCATGGATGAGTAAGTTGGCTCACTGATCTCCAAAATAAACAGTTTAGAACGAAAATTTCGATCAGATTAGTCATTAGCAGTAAGTAAACAGCTTCGTGTTTGTAAATAATCTCCAACTGAATGAAGCCATAAATGTGGAAGTCTGTTTATCTATTCAGTGTCTAAATTGTACTGTACTGACTCCTAGATGTAATATTTCTTGATTCACTCTTAGGTATAGTACTGAAATCATGAGAGTGACGATTATTGAATTACAAAGCAAAACGTATGTAGTGGCACCTGGTATTCTTCCGTGCTCCATACGGAAGTCATTCGTACACTGAATTACTTTCCAACATATCTGATTTCCATAATCCTTTGATTGTTTAGGAAACAGAAGCGTTTTAATCAGCAACAAATTATTTTCTCATATGAAATTTAATTAGGTTCTTGACAATATTCGAGAAACTCCAACCTTACCTTATCGATAAAGTTATTGATAATGAGTCGCTGACTGTAACATAATATATATTAATTATTGGGGAAAAATCAAATGCAAATTTCATAACGCTTCAGAAATATTACAATTAATCTAGTATAATAATTGACTGTCATTCTATGATAATGACTAAGTTGACATCGTCTTGGTAACTAAAGTCAAAGATGGCGTTTTAAAATAGATCGATTAAAACTAATAGATAACTTAAAGAAAACTGTTTTAAAGATATTTATTTCGGAGATCAGTGAGCCAACTTACTCATCCATGAAAATAAACAGAAAAACAAACACCTCCCAATTCATTCAATAAAAAAATGCAAATGAATTCCAATTGAAAGAGTGAATAGGTGGGAGATGAAGAGAAGGAGGGATAGAAGAAAGAATGACATTCAATCAGTTTACCACTCCTCACTCTCCTCAATGCCCCAGTTATGCTCCAATCCAGCTCACATCTACAAATACACACACCAAACTTTCCACACACATACACACACATAATTCCACCTTGTATTTGAAAATTTCTCTTATTCTTCTCGTTGTTTTGCTGTCGTTGTTATCATTATTGTTATTGTTATTGCCGTTGTTGGTGTTTTAGATGTTGCTTACAAGTTGGTTGCTTGGTTACAAGTGATCAGTCAATCAATTGTTGTGAAATTGAGAAGCTTCAATTAATTACTGTTTATCAACCAACCAACCAACCAGTTTACATTGTATAATTGAGATGTGTTAGATGGAGTGAAAATGATTTATTCAGAGATGATAATCATGATAAATTCTCTTGAGGAATGTGATCGACGGAGTGGCGTTTTCTGCTTTCTGTAAATTAATAATAATAATAATAATAATAATGATAATGTTGTTATTATTATTGTTATATGTATTGTTTACTGTGCGTGTATAATTGACATGGAGTAATGAATTGATAGTTGATAATAGAGTGTAATTTAATATTAGATAACGATGATGATGATGATGGTATTGGTGAAATGATATACCCTCATATATATGTTATAATGCAAAGTGATTTTGCTTTGTTTACTGAAATGTTAATTTTGTTATTTAACTTATCTATTAGCCTCGGAGGCAAATATATTTGTTTCATGAATGAAAACTATATCATTTTTATGTAAATTATATTCAAGATATTTATGCAATTTTCCCCAGTCTTTTTTTCTATTCAGGTCAAATACAATAATAATTTGATTATAATATGAGGTTATATAACAAACAAATTGTTCATATATATATATATATATATATATATATATATATATATATATATATATATATATATATATATATATATGGATGAATAAGTCAGTTTTCGCTAATTCAATAAAGTTTGTTTGACTGTTTATTTTCTTGATATAACTATTTTTCTACAGCGACATTCTGAATAGGACTGCGTTAACGGTTGTTTAGTTATTTCTAAACAATTCTAATCTGTCATATCTTATATAGGATCTGTGAAATTTAATTGATATATTTACATTCAGTAAGCTTTGTTCCTTGTTGATAGTATTCAATACTATTGTGATAGAATAAGGAGTTTTTCTAATAGTGTCGAATAATTCTACAAGTACTTTTTGTTTAAAATGTTTTATTAATCATTTAGTAAGAGTTTGTAATTTTCTGTTGTTGATATTCTCAACCGAAATTTGTTTAGTTTATACTGTTATATATTCATTCTGAATGGATTGTTTTTATAAAGAGTTTAGTAGAAAGCTTTAAGTGATATTTACTATTTAGCTAACAATAGAATGAAGTACTCGTGTTTCATTCTGTTTAGGATTGTTCAGATGGACATGTTTGGATTCCAGTGTTAATGTTTACACAGATACCTAAACCTAGTACATATCACTTCAAATACAATGATGTTCTCTACTGATCTAATGAGTTTAGAAAGCGGAAGTTACTGGGTTCAAAATTTACTGTGAACATCAATACAAGGATCTAAGCGGGAGTCACAAGTAGTATTAAACATACATTGTGAACTTTATTGTTGGCATTATACCAAAAATTTATTTATTTCGATATAAATTGTGCTCATCTGATGTTGCTTTTAGATGAATAGTGAAATGATCGTAATTTACTTATGAAGCTTACAGAAAACGTCAACAGTGAATGTTGTCTCCACTTCGAATTTAAAATTATTATCCTGACTGTTTAGTTTGTCTTATTGTTACTGTTGTTCTCTTTCGTTTATAGGTTACTGATATTTCATGTGTGAAACGAAGAGAACAACACTTTAATTCTAATCATTAAAACAAGGATTAGTTTGTATTAATTTTTTTACTGATAACCAAGGCTGACTAAACAAAAATACTACTGGAATGTATCAAATCGATTCTTTACTTACCATAGTTCGCTTATGCAGTAGAGTAAGCATCGAAAGCTTCAAGTAACCTTTAATAATAAACCATTACCATAAAGCATAGTGAATATGTAAGGGAAGGATGTGTTCCTGAGTAAATATCTTTGTGTTATAGTTAATTAACACGAATTAGAGTGCAACAATTATGAACACTTACATGGACAAAAATATCATCACATTGGTAAATTCAATAATTTGAGTATTGTTACCAATGTAATAACTATAAAATCAAAGGAATAACTATTAAACACCATGGGCTACTAATTACTAAGATGGTATATATAAATTTCTGTTAGTCTCTACAATAGTTCTTAACACAAAAACAAATTTTAGCCTAATGTTATTTCATACCCTTTCTTCATTCTTTTAGAATACTTATTCCTCGTATCCAGTTTCTTACTGCAGCTAATATGGCGTCTTTAAACTACTCTTCCCACTTTACATTATGTTAATGTTATTCTCTGAATATACCAAGTGAATGTATGACAGCTTAAGCCAACACTTATATGTTATAGATTTTTTGTTCTCTATGATTAAAGATTGACTATACGAAATATGTATCATCAAATGTCTACACAATTTTATGATCAATCACCTTTTACTTTAATTCGTACAATCTTGACTGATAAAGTAGTTTGAATGAAAGGTAACTAAAGATTGCCAAATGATGATCTGATATAAAATAATTGAATATTGCTTTAAGTTTTGTCTATAAGTGTCCACTACTTGGTTTCGGTACATTTAATAGTTTTGATTAACCATTAAAATACTTATTTGAAATGATTCAAAAGTGATTAGCTTAACGTAGATTCATTCATCTGTTTTTATTCTTTTGAATCTTAAGTTTCAATATTATACTACTTAACCGATTCCCTTACAATACAACTTGTTAACTAGTTGTTCACATTTGATAATACTAACCATTTTGAATTCTCTCTTATTCATATTTATTCAAAACAAGAAACTATTACATAGCAATAGTTAGTCGTAAATTTTAAGCTTAAATTTATTATGAATATAAAAATAGTGTTTTGCTTACGATATATATCTGTATATATATATATTTTGGTTACTTTCTTATACAATCATATGATGAACGGAATTTTGAATGAATTTCATAGAAACCACCATATAAATTCTAGTCTGAAATAAATATAATTTATTCGTAACAACTGTAGTTGTGTTTATTAAAAGTTATGTCAAATTGTAATCTGATTATATGACATTTCTACTTAAATATTACGAAATAAATCCGAGTTTACTTGACCGATTTAAGTTATTCGTTTATCATTTTTTGTTGTTGTTGCGTATTAACATAGTCATGAATTGTTGTGTTTTTATTAAGAACTTTCGAACTGTTACAAGACATTGCCAGTTCAATGCTGTTAGTAGATAAATAGTATAAGGAGACTATTTTATATATTGTCAATTGTGTAATAGTTAACACGATAAACTCT